TTGGTTAGTTATATCGGTATCTTTATTAACTAGAACTTCACATTCTTATTGTTATTGTGTGCTTTCAAGTAATTTCTGACTTATGGTGACCCTGAGGCGAAGCTATCACAGGGTTTCCTTGGCAAGATTTGTTTAGGTTTGACTTTGCCTTCCTCTGAGGCAGAGGAAGGTCACCCAGAGGATTTCCATGTACTAGTAAGGATTTGAACCCTGGTCTCCAGAATCGTAGTCCAACACTCAAACTATGACACCACTCTGGATCTCCACACTGTACTGCATCAGGCAAATAAAAAGCACCAAGGAACACACAAACTTTTCAAGGTAGTACTCTCAGCATGAAATTCATCCCCCTTGCCCTAAGGAGGTGGGCCAGGCCTTGAGATAATGGCAATCCTACTCTTTAGATATGTTTTCCTGATCCTGTGGTTGCTATTCTCTTGAGCCTGTGCAGTATTGGGCTATGCTTCTGGAGACCAGGATTCAAACCCGGTCAGCTATGAAACCCACTGGGTGACCTTGGACAAGTCACAATCTCTCAGCCTCAGGGGAAGGCAATAATTTTATCATGATGATTTAATATGTTTGTAAGCTGCCTTGAGAACAAAATGTGGGGTATGATTTAAAAAATGAAATAAATGGAATATAATTTTCAGCAGCAGCTGTGCATCTGTTGTAATGAGTGGTTCTGCCCATAAGGGGTGGAAGCTGATAACATGATGATTTTCCTAAGGCTACATAGTGATCTCATGCCTAAAGAATGATTTGAAATTGTGACTTCTTCATTTAGAGATCATGCTCCCTTTTTAGGAATTACATTACATACTGGGGTAAAGCAAAACCCTGTCATCTGCTGAGTGTGTTAAGCAGATACAGGAAGCAGTCTTTAACTTCAAGAAAATGATGGTTTCTCAAGTTTTCCCTCTGCTGTGATTTATGAATCATCAGGGGATGAGCTCCTCAGACTTGCAGTGTATGGATGGATTTCCCTCTAACAACCTGAGTCAAATGTCTCCCTCATTCCTAGTTAGAATGTGCTGACCAAGGTCATAAATTAGACATGCAAAAGTGAGCTGTAAAAGGGAATAGATTTGCAAGTCCTTAAGTGACCCCCCAAGCACCCCAAAACTCCTCTCCAAAGAGTTTACCATGAAATTGTCTCCACATCATCCCTCTTCCAATGGCACCCCAATTGCAAGAATTATTCCAAAGGGAGTCATCATTGTTCTGATAGATTGATATGAAATCCATAAAGCGGCAATTGTCTCCTTTTGATGGGTCCCTCACAAGATGGTCTAATGATGGATATCATCATAGGCCACTACTTTTAGCACTTTTCTCCCAAACTTGCATTGGACTTCCTCCGAGCAATGCTCAAGGACATTAATTTTATGCCTATATTGCACCAGCAATTTAGACTAATAACTCTCTCATTTGGCCTCTTCCTCTTTCAATTCCATGACACAGTCACACACTTCTCAAGCTCAAACTGTCCCCTATTAATCAGGAAAAGACTCTATTTTTTCTGGTACTATACCTGACAGCTCAAAGTTTCAATGTTGCCTTTTGGAGAAATTTGCAGGCTGTGTCTTTTACTTTATTTTTTGAAAGTTCCATGGGTGGATGATGTGCTTCCCTTGCAACCATTCTGTGAAGAGCAGAGCCAGATCCGTCATGAGATTAAACATGTCTGTCAAACATCCTTTTCCTTTTGTCTTACTCAGTGTGGTGAAGCTGGTTTTTGAACACTTTGTGCTTTAAAAGGCAACAAGTGGAACCTGCAAAAATGTTGCAATGTGGATGGTTTCTATTCAGGGTTCAAGCAAGAAAACTCTGCTTTTGTTCAGAATATTCCATTCCCTTCCATCTCTTCCACTTTTTCATCTCCAGTCTCGAAAACATGCCATTCTTACTAGGTGGGCACACTTAAGTCCGTGCCTGATTTCAAAGTGGACAGTATTTTTTTAAAAAAGTTTTTTTTAATGTTTTTATCTTGTGAGCCACTTTAGGTCCCTTTTAGGGAGAAAGGCATCATAAACATGAAATGAAATAAATAAATATTATTTTTATAAGTAAGATTACTTTGTACGTCTACATACCTGCTGAATACCTACTTGGAGAATGACTTCACTATGAATATAGAAGCAGCAGAAATGGAGAAATGCAGGCCAGCCGTAATTTGGAATGCCATCTGAATAATAAAGATGTTCCTGAAATATTCCTGAATAATGAAAATTCGACAAGCTCCCTTGTAGAAAGGCTTTTTATGCACAGCCAGCCCCTATTTGTCTTCTTGTCCTCTATTTAGTTGGAAGTTTGTTAAGAAACATCAGCACTGGGAGAAGAATGAGAAAGAACTAGGGAAATGCATTTTGGTGTCAGTGTCTGCATTTTTTTTTAAAAAAAATGCAATAAAGTAGAGCTAGGAAAGAATAGAATTCTGCTGTTGCTAATCCTATTGAAGATGTCTATGCCAACCTACAAGAGGCAAGGTAAACAGCATCAGCTGCTAGGATCCCTTACCTAGCATACTTAATCAACAAAATAGGAAGAAAAGGAAAGCAGATTAACCTGTTTCATCAGCCCCCCAG